AGCGAATGTATGTAATTCTAGGATAACCACAGTATAACTAGGTTAGTACAGTTGTAAGCGAATGTATGTAATTCTAGGATTACCAAAGTATAACTAGGATTAGTACAGTTGTAAGCTAATGTATGTATTTCTAGGATTAGCACAGTATATCTAGGATTAATACACTTGTACGTGAATGTATGCATCTCTGGGATTAGCACAGTATATCTAGGATGAGTACAGTTGTAAGCGAATGTATGTATCACTAGGATTAGCACAGTAATATCTAGGATTAATACAGTTGTAAGCGAATGTACGTAATTCTAGGATTACCACAGTATAACTAGGTTTAGTACAGTTGTAAGCGAATGTATGTAATTCTAGGATTACCACAGTATATCTAGAATTAGTACAGTTGTAAGCGAATGTATGTAATTCTAGGATTAGCACAGTATAACTAGGATTAGTACAGTTGTAAGCGAATGTATGTATCTCTAGGACTAGTCTAGTTCCAAGCGGTGGCGCGTCCTGAATCTTCTCAGAAGGGCAATGATAACCCAATGGAATGCAGGCGTAGACGTGATGTGCAAGTACTGTTGTGTTATGAAATGTGGTAATGCAGGCGTAGACGTGATATGCAAGTACTGTTGTGATATGAAGTGTGGTAATGCAGGCGTAGACGTGATGTGCAAGTACTGTTGTGATATGCAGTGTTGTTTAGGGCTGTGTGTATGTGTGCAGTGCACATCGCCGGGTGAGCGTAGGGTTTGTGGTTTCAGGGTTGAGTACCTATGCCTATCAAGTCTCCGTGAAGATGGTGGTGGCTCTGACTGCCAAGACTTTATGTTTTTTGAGACAAGACTTTGGGGTTCTTGAGATCGGATAAGCACTTTAACAGTAGCAGATACACGCTACACTCAGCCGCACTCGGATAGAGTGCTGGCACACGAAATGGATGCGACGATAGAGACTCTCACTGAACCCGAGACTTTTTGCTTCTGGTTATAAGACAAGAAAGTAAGGCAACGCACACATACAGCCGCAGACAGCGTACAACACACTGACATCCACACGTACTCTGTGCGTGGGAGAGAGGGCTCATACGCACACGTACCGTTCAAGCATTCAGTCGAGTTTAATTCTTCTAACTATATCAACGTATCCATCGGCAGTCCGTTGGGGGCGATATTTGCTGCACTTTATGTACCCAGATATGAAAAAATAGACTCTCTCGCGCACCTCACCTGACATAAGTACAGATGTCCCTGCTTTTGCATGCGGCACTCGCCCCCAAATGCAACTCCCTTCGTATGTACGCAACATTGATAATAGTAAACTAACCGAACCACTCGCGAAAGCACACCCGCTGTACGCATGACTACACTGACCGGCCTGAGTGTGTCTATCGCATACTGGGCCACACGTGTGCACACACACCTATGTAGTTGCACACACACCTGCGTAGTGGTCGTTGATAGAGACGTATCGCTGAGTGCGCTGATCGCAGAGACGACGCGCACGGCGTCGAGAGAGGAATGGCCTGTCGCCGCGAAGTAACAATCCGCCCTGTCTTCGGGTGCGGCTGTTGGGATGTGTTATAGACATATAAGCGATACATACATGTAAAGATATATGATATTTATATGTACAAAGAGGTGTGTATCTGTGTCTACACATATGTGCACATGTGTGCACATGTGCTTATACAAGTGCACATAGAGATGCATACACGTAAAGTTATAGGATATCGATATGTACAAAGAGGCGTGTACTGTAGTACCTGTGTATACACATATGTGTACCTGTGTTTATATCTGCACATAGAGATGCATACTTGCAAAGATATATGATAACTTATTCACATAAAGACGCGTCACAATCAATACGGGAACGTATCTACCGATATTTACACATGTGCACAGAGAAATTCAACTTTACGTCGGAACACGTTTGATATTTAGTAGTGCGTGGGTATCAGTAGGGTAAGCGATGCGCGTAATGCTGCACAACATAACGTTACAATATCATACGCCATCACTAACTAACCTAGGCCAACTATTCGTAACACGTCACATTGTCAGACAATCGAATTGCCCGATTGCCATAGGTCACATTGTCAGACAGTCGAATTCTCCGATTGCTATAAGTCTGACTGTCAGATAATCGAATTGTCCGATTGCTATAAACCTGACTGTCAGATAATTGAATTGCCCGATTGCTATAAGTCTGACTGTCAGATAATCGAATTGCCCGATTGCTATAAGTCTGACTGTCAGATAATCGAATTGTCTGATTGCTATAAACCT